AATAAAATTTTAACAAAGAAATTTAAGTGCAATAGTTGGAAAATACTCCGGAGGATGTCTAACCTGTTGGTATAATTTATATTAAGGAAAAAAAAATTAAAAATAATTATTATGTTGCGATGATAAGAATGATTAATTAATTTAACAAAGCGAAAAGAGGGTTAATTAATTTAATAAAGCTAATTAATCTAATAAAGCTTTAATAAAGAAATTTGGAATTAATTAATAGTCGGAAAATATCCCCGGAATCAATTTAATAAAGCGAAAAAGAGTTTATTAGTTTGATAAAGTTAATTAATTTAATAAAACTTTAACAAAGCAATTTAAGCATAATAGTTGAAATATATTCTGGAATATGTTTAACCTGTTAGGTATAATTTATACTAACGAAAAAAATTAAAATGATTATTATGTTGCCATGATATGAATGATTAATTAATTTAATAAAGCGAAAAAGAAGTTAATTAATTTAATAAAGCTAATTAATTTAATAAAACTTTAACAAAGAAATTTAAGTATAATAGTTGAAAAATATTTCAGAAATTATCTAACCTGTTGGTATAATTTTTCCTCATCAATATTCTCCCAAATAGTACCAATGATTCGTTCTTTTGGAATTATTATCCAATTAAGCGTTTTTAATTGTATCCTTGATTTTGGTATCTTTTTCATATCAATTGTTTCTGTTAATACTCGATCACCATTGATACTAAGCTGTAATAATGATGATGGCGGTGGTGGTGGTGGTGGTAATTGTGATGGTGGACATATTGGTGGTACTGAAGATGATGTTGATGAACTTGATGATTGACATGGATCGGATGGAAATGTTGAATCAGTCGAATCTGCGCTAGTCCTAAGACAGATATAATAATTGATTTATTTAATTTGATAAAAATTTTTATTAAAATTATATTTTCAAAATTTATTTTGAAAATTATTAATTGTGAAAAGAAAAAAGAAAAAAATGGTTTAATTGTGAAACAGAAAAAAAAGAAAATGAAATACATAATAATAAAATGTTTCATACACTAACAAATATATTTATAATTATTAAAAGGAAAAAAAAACGATTGAACCAGCAATTAAATATCATTATGATTAATTTGAATTTCAAATTCCAATTATAAATTATTATCTATTTTTTTTTTGTAAAGTAAATAATAGCTATACCTGGAATAAATGGAACGCAAATCATAATCGGCCAAACGATTTTGCAATTCAATTACATGCATTCGTTCTTTTCGCAATTCTTCCTCTAATTCGTTATATATTCGTTCAAGATTATCATATTCATTTTGTGTATGTAATCTAAAACTTATTTAATCATTATAAAAAATTTCAATTGTTTAAATCATTCATTATTTGAATTATTTACAAAAAAAAATTTTAAATTTCAATTCATATTATCCATATTATATTAACTATTTAAAATTCATAAAATTTATTTTATTTGAACTTTTCTACTGTTATTAATAATAATATTTGTAAAATTAACCTTTTTTTTTGTTATTTTTAAGTTTAATTATAAATTTGCCATTAAAAAAATAATGTAAAATGTATTAAAAGTTTTGAATTTTTTTTAATTAAAATTTTTTTTGAAATTAATTTTTAAACTTTATTGCAATTATACTTCATTTTTATGCTTCCTTTTATACACAATTATTCATTGAATTTTATTTTATTCGTTTAAAATTATTTCGTTAATTTAATTTATTTCAATTACACTATGGAAATTATTTGTCAAATTTTTTGTCTCAATTAGATAACAGGAAATTATTTTCAAAATTTATTGTTTTAATTAAAATAACAAATAATTATTTTATCAGGAATTATACAAAAAATACCTCGATAAAACATTATTCATATCAATGCTTACAATCGGTTCTTGTATATCAGTGCAAACATCCATTTTTACATGTAATACCAATTGTTGTAGTACAATATCAAGTAATCTAAAAATTAAATAAAATAATTATTGCTATTAATTAATTATATAAATTGTATATTTATTATGTAAATGAGTTAAAAAAAATAAAAAGATACAACTATAACATTAACGAGAAATGAAATGACAATTAATATTTTTTATATTAATTAATATTTTTTTAAAATTATGATAGCAATTAATACTTTTTTTCTAAATAATTTTTTTTTTCTTTAAATTAATATTTTCACTAACTTCTCAATAAACGTAAGCAATCAAATTTTTTCTTTTTTTGCAACCAACAATTTAATGTTTTTTTTTTGAAAAATTCATAAAAAAAAATTTTCATTATTTTATTATGCATAATAGTTACATTAAATTATGCAATAATTAATTAACATGTAAATTTATTAATTAATATGTAAACAGTTAATTTCAAAATTGTAATAGTATCAATAAAAATTTAACTTTTCAATATAAGTAACAATTAAATAATTCAAATTTAATTCTATATTAATTAATTAATTAATTAACAAAAAAAGAACTATTACCTCCATATATTGATATTTTTATGATCAGATGATAGAAGCATAAGATGTTGTAAAATGGAAATGAAATGAGGCATTGCAATAGTATTATTCAATCGTTCCATTAATATATCAATCATATCTGTTGGATTTTCCACATCAATTGGTGTTGATGTACCCGAATCACTTCTTAAATTTCATTAAAATATTAATTATTTTTTTCTTAATTATTTTTTTAATTGCAAAAAATTTGAAAGAAGATTTGATCAATATTGATTAATACAATGGTGCAGCTATTATCATTTTATCATTAAGCCAGCACTTTTTTTCTCTTTATCACTATCATTTATATCTTTAAAATTTTCCATTGTTTTGCTTTCTTTCCTTTTCTTTGCCTTTTTTTTTTGCAAAAATGATTTTAAAATTAACTGATATTACAAACAAAAATTTTATTTTTTTTATATCGAGTATTATTTTGTGTTAAACAATTTTTAAAAAATAAATTTTTTGGTTAATTATTAATAAATAATTATTTGATATTTTTTAATTGATATTTGATTATTTGGTTTTTCCTTCTTTTTTTTTGCAAAAAATGATTTCAAAATTAGCTGACATCACAAAAAATATCTTTTTCACATTAAGTATTATTTTATATTAAGTAATTTTAAAAATAAATTTTTGATTAATTATTAATAATTAATTATTTGATATTTCCTACATAATAGTTTTCTTTTTTTTTTTCACTAAAAATGATTTTAAAATTAATTGATATTATAGAAAAAAAAATTTAATTTACTTTGTAATAAGTAATTTAAAAAAATTTTTTTTGACTAATTATTAACAATTAGTCAGTTGATATTTCTTTGGTAATATTTAACTATTTGTTTTTTTCTTTTCCTTTTTGTTAAGAAATAATTTTCTTATAAACGAAAAGAAAAAAAATTAATATCATCAAAAGGAAAAGTTTCTGATAGCTCGTTTTGATGGCATAATAAAATGTCGCATCAATAAATTTGATTTTCGATCATAGAAAATAAAATATGTTTTGCCTTTCTTTAAATAGCAATTTTAAAAAATATATGGCAGATGAAATGGATTGGATCAATAAAAAATTTTTATCAATGCAATATATTCATCAAAAATGAAATTTTTATTTCTTTTTTTTACTTGAAGATAAGTATAATATTAAAAAGATACACGTAGACTAATTAGATGGAATAATAAAATAAAGTATTAAAAAAAGAAAAAAACTAGTGACTAGTTGAAATGATAAGTAGCATTAAAATATTTATGAAAAATTAAATATGCTGAAAACAATTAATTAATTAATTAATTACGCAAAAATTCTTAATTAACTAAGACATTCAAATTAATCATTTCTTTCTTAGAATAATCTAATAATCTAATTAGAATCTAACAAAAAAAAATAATTCAATTATTCCATTTTTTTTACAATAAATAATTCAATTATTCCATTTCTTAGAATTAATCTAATTCGAATAATTCAATTAATTTTAGAATAATTTAATGAACTAATTTAATTTAAATCATTTATAACTCTTTTTTTTTTTTTTTTTATACTTACCTGGTGAAATGTTGTTCATCTTCTTGTCGAATCATTTCAAACAAATCAAAATGATCATCCAAAACGGTAGATGATGTAGCACGAAGTTGTTCAAGGATATTATGCAATCCTAACATTAATAGTTCAAATCGTAAATGCATGCGAAATTCCAATGAATTCTGTAAGAAAAAAAAGAAAAAGCAAGAAAAAGTTGCAAATTTTTTATTAAAATTATTATTATAATATTTAAAAAATATAATGAGATTTTATCAATTACCAACAATAAAATGAAATTTTATTTTTATCTTTTAATTAATTAAATAACAAATTAAGAAATTAAAGAAAAGAGAAATTATTGAAAAGAGATGAAATGAATCTTTTAAATTTAAAAAAAAAAAGAAAAGAAAAATTATTGAAAAAAGATGAAATAAATCTTTTAGAATGCAAAAATAAATTATTTTATTTATTATAATAAATTCCTTTTACAATAATAATTTATAAATGAATTTATGTAATAATTAAACAACTAGAATAGGAATTTTATTTCATCTAACTAAATTAACAAATATATTAAATAATATAATAAATAATTTTTATTTTGATTGGATAAATAACTTGAAAATTGTCACATATATTCAAGTAATTAATTATTTTGTTGATGCTAATTGTTTAGACAAAAAATTTTAAGCAACAATTTTGATCGATTATTTGTTGATAAATGAATGAGGATGATGAAATGCTTTTTTTTTTTTCTTCATTTTTGCTTCTTTTCGATTTTATTTTTTGACAACTGACAGACAGCTGTTCCAATTTAACGATTAGTTTTCTAGATTTTGCAAAGAAAAAAAAAGTGATAATGATATCTCTTTGCTTATCTTTAAAAAAAGGAAAAGTGATAATGATATCTCTCTTATCTCTCCGCTTATCTCTCCTACATTTTCATATTATTTCAAATTTAATCAGCTTTTTTGCTTCTCGTCTTTTTCCACTTTTTTCTTTCTTCCAGCCTTATCAGAATACATATAATTTTTATCAAAGATAAGTGTAAAAATAAAATGGATTTCAAAATGAATTTAAAGGGATAAATTTGAAAACGGACAAATATTTCAGTTTTTATTTTTTTTTAATTAATTAATTAATCGTTTTCTTTTCACATTTATCTGTTAAAAAATATGCTAATAGTCAAATCAGATTTATCCATTCTTTTGACTTATAAAACAACAAAATTTAAAAAAAAAAATGTTCTAGCAAAATTCAACGTATCGAGAAAAAGAGAAAAAAAAAAGCTCCTTTGCTAATTTCTATTTTCTTTTTTAAAATCCAGTTTGTTAAACCTATTTCCGGAATCAAAATCCGAATAATTGAACTTCGATACTTTTCGATATCATAACTACTATTATCTGATCATTATACTATATTTTTATAAAAAAAAAAATGCCATATTCAGGAAGGTATTAGACATTGAAATTAATTGAATTTAAATAAGATATAGAAATTAGCTTCATATATTTGAATTTAAAATTACTCCAATATTTGAAGTTATTCCAATTTTAAAATTATCTCAATATTTTTTTCTCACCTCTTAATTTAAAGTGTTTTTTTTTCCACTAAAAAACATTTTTTTTATTTTTACCTTACTGTAATTCTCATTGAAATACTTTGGTTTGACAGTGGGATTGAATTTAGTATTTAAATTCTAGCAAAATTATAATTATTTTCAAATGCTATTCATAGCATATAAAGCGATTGTTAAAATGAAAAGATTAAATTTCAACCTTAAAGATTAAAATAAATGATGACTAAACGTAAAAGGAATTATTTTTGTACATTGATGAGAGTTTATATCCAAATAAAATTATCATTTTTATCATCATTTTTTTTTTTATAAAATGATATGAATATATCAATAATATGATAATCATTTTATCACATTACTACATATCATTCATTAATTCTTTAAGTATAATTCTTTAAGTAATTCATTCATTAATTCTTTAATTCTTTTTTCTTACCTTTTTGAGATAATTTAGTTATAAAAAATAAAAAAGCAAATAAGTAAACCGATTTTATACCGGATACTTTTATACCGGAACCTTATAATTTTATGCCGAAGCCGATTTTATACCGGATATTTTATACCGGTTTTATGCTAGATATAATCATAGATAATGCTAATTTCTAACTCTGTATTTCCAAAAATTTAAATTGATTTTGTTCAATTTAATTTAATTTCCTTCTATTTGACTTTTTTATAACTTTCAACATTTCATATTCTGTAAAAAATAAATATACGAGAGAGAGAGAGAGAGAAATAGAAGGATATAATGAAAAATGAATGATTTTTGGATATTAAATTTCTAAATTTACCTTGCTTTCGTTTATATTTTTTTTATATATAATTATAATTTTGCAAATATTCGATTAAGAAAATTAATATTAAAAAGAAATAGTACTAACATTTTACAAAAATAAAAAATAAAATTTAAAAATAATTAACATTTTTTAATTTCGCTTAATCAAATTGCTAAAAACTTTTATTAAATTTAGTATTTCAGTAAGTAAGTAAGTAACCAAAATATGCACTAATTTTTTCCTAAATTTTCAATATTATTAACAAAATTTTAGTAATATTAAATAAAAATGAAATGAAATACCTCAGCAGGACCACTACTTAGTAATGCATTAATTAGACTCATTGCAGTTGTTCGTACACGATCTGTTTCACGATCATTACCGTAATTTCGATAGATATCATCTACCAATCGTTGAAATCTCGTCCTTTCTCCAAGGATTTCACGAGCTTCCGTTATTGCATGCAACACTTTTTTGTTGTCCATTAGGTGATATTAAACAAATACCAGCTAATATTTCGTAACACAATATCTGTAATTTAAAAATTTAATTCTTTTTAATTTATCCAAATTGTTCATTAACAAATGTATTTAGCATTTTGTGTTTGATAAAGTTCAATCTTTGATCAATTACTGTAATATGAAATATTGAAGAATTTA